TTGTTGCTCTACATTGAAGACACCCCACATAACAATGTCGCTAGTGGGTCACATAATGATTCTGGTCCTTACCTCCTAAACAACTGCAATCTCATCAGAGGACAGATCCTCCGGCAGAAGTCCAACAAACTCACAGGTATCAGATGCTCACCTAGGATTTTTTCCTTGCATTTATACCACCAGTGGACAGGAAAATCCCATTACAGGTAGTGACAGACAACTAGGAAGGAGACAAGTTGGTGACCTGATCCTAGGACAAGCACTTGGGACTTCATAAAAGCCTCAGCAGGGGGAAAAAAGGCCGACTGCCATGCTCAGCACAGCAGTAGTGATGAGACAGAAACAGGCATGCAATTCCCCTGCTCTCCTCAGCTGTGCTGGCTGTCAAGGCTACCAGGATTAAAAAATCTGCTTAATACAGATTTATTCTTGTCACTTTTCAGATTACATCACTCAGACTCTCACTCATCTTCCTCTGCTGTTGCAAGAAGAGATTACATTTGGCTAATATGTATGAAAAATGTGATTATTGCTTATCCTTGTACCTATGCAACATGAATTATCTTCTGTTTGCAATTATTCCTCCCTTCACACCATTATTCCAAGGAACTTAAGGTTTGTATATTCTGTGACTTGCTGTAATAGTGTACTTAAAAGACAAAAGGTGCAGCTTTAAATAATGCAAATACTAAGAAAGCAGCGTATATTCAAATTTAAGTTTTTTAATACTTTCAGTTGGCTGTAACAGAAAGAAAAGTTCATCTTTTTGCAAGCTAAAACCTGGTCAATTCCTTGTAATGCTTTCAGCCAGTTTCTCTTTCTAAGCATAATTATGAAACAAAAACAAATGTCTGAACTTGTGCACACTGTTTATTACAGTTTCTTCCCTCTCCCCCCACCCCCACCACCTCTCCATCAAATACCCCAAATGGTTGAAAGAAGCTTGGCAATGTGCACCCAAGAGCCAAGGGAGAGCAAACACCTGCTGCAGTCAATTCAGTTTCACAGCCGCAGCATTCTTGAAACTCACCTCCACATAAAGTGCTGAATGTTGAAGTTTCTAATAGACACTAAATGGTCACAGCCACAACAACATGAGACATTCATGCAGTGCACACACACTGCCATAAAAGAGGCCATTTCTCCTACTTTCTGACTGAGCTCCATTAAAACTAACCACAATCTGTTTGAATTCATCCATAGGTCTGCAGACCATACATGTGAACTCCAGATTCTTTATGTGTGTGCTTTTTTGTACTTTTGCTCATCAAGTAGACAGGTAGTAATCACATTTTCTGAATAATTACCCCTGATTTGGTTCTTCTACACATTCCTAAGGTCAACTCATCACCGTATATTAAATCAGTTACAACTTCTCACAGCAGCACAACAATCACAAACATAATCTCTACTACAGATTAAGATAACCACTTCCAGTTCTTCAGGAAAAAAAATAATAATAATAATTCTGGAATCCCCTTCAGAAGGTCCCAAAATAATGTTAGCAAGGCCCTGATGAGAGTGATTATATTTGATAAGGTTTCAGGTTGTATAAGGAAGCGCAACAAACAGCGTATTGAACAACAAGCTCAAATATGCAGACATTCATCAAAACCTGATCACTGCACACCACTGCAACATGGACAATATGGCTTGACGAGAGTCTAGGGGAGGGGACAGGAAAGACATAAAAGACAGTCATTGGTTACAGAGGCATAGTTATTACTTAATGTACTCTGCTTTCAAGATGAATCTTTAAATGGAGTGACTCTAAATAACAGGGTTCTAAAGAATAAGAAATTGGGCTTGAAACAGCATTGTTAAGGTATCCAGCAGCACTGTAACAAAGTAGTTTCTTCAGGGGCCAGTTGTAGCTTCAAAGGAAAGATTTGCCTAGGGCAGAAACTCAGCACAGAATCTGCAACTCGTATTTTTAATTAGTCAAATTTTGCAAGCAAAAATCCTTGGTACTCCAGAAAGAGGTTTTGTACTTTAAGGTACATGAACCAGTAAAATGATTGATCATTCCTGGTTGGTGATAACAGCAGCTAAAATATTTATATATTAGCCTGTTTTCAGTGTGGTACCCCTGTAACATTAATAAGAGCTGTGCTTGCCAATCAGCAACAGAGCTGAGAGCCTACAACAGTTGCAGGACAAGAGCAATATCCAGAATTAGATTAAACCTCTATTTTCAGAAAGCCATCTACAGGTAGACTCTTCCCATAAAATACTTGCAAACACCATCTAGTTAACCTTTGGCACCATGAAGCAAGCACAGCAGCAGCAGAATTTAAGAAACGTGGTTTCCTCAAACGCTAGCACAGATCCTCTCAAGTCTATCAAAACAGTTGGATTTATATCCACAGCCTCTGCACGAGAGCAAAACCAAAGGGTGAGAGGCGAGGCACTGTTATGGGTGCTCTACTATGAATTTTCACAGCACTTTCAGGATTTTAATAATGCTAAAATCCCTAACTCTCTCAGTTTCAGCAGAAAAGGGATCAACGCTGCAAAAATTATTCAAGTAACAAGGAAAGTGAAAAGGCAGATAGAGAGGGAAAGATGGCACATCACTAAACCAGACCAGAATGAAATGCCTAGTGTTTTGCCCAGTCTAAAAAAAAAATTGAAATATCCAGCATTTCAGGTAGCAGAAAGCATTTTATCTGTGAACAAGAAGCCAATTCCAAATACTTCAAAGGGCTTCAAAAGAAGAACAAGGACAGACATTATGCTAAGGTGAGGTGCTGAACCTTTCAGCATTTGATGAGTGAAGATTAACTGCTGGTTTGCTCCAGTCGGCACTGCCAAGACACCAGCCTGGGCCTCAAGCAGCAGTGGAAGAACAGCTCTGGAAGCCACTCACCACCACGTTCCATTCACTGTGCTTAGTCTCAGTCAGATCTAAGGAAGACAGCAGTAAAATGTCAGTGGCTTGTTACTATCCACATATCCATTTTCTGCTGAAACCAGTGAAGTTACCTCAGGGTTAGAAATAGCAGAATACTATTTGCAGGCATAACTCTGGCTAATGCTGAATCAGCTATAGACTTGAGTCCAGAAGCACAGCATCTTCAACGCCAGCCCTGAAAATCAGAATTGATTTTCAAGAACAAACACACTACGCCTCAGCAAGGATACTAAACTTGCCAATCAATTTAGATTTCTCCAGACATGAGCTTTATAGAGTATATGCAAGCAGAGAAGGAGGCAAAAAAAAAAGCAGCGGTGAGCAAGGAAAGGAGATGGTAGTTTAAATTGAAGGCAGAGGCATAATTTCCAGCACACATACAAACACACATCTTTGCTTCACTGATCATTCAATGAACGTTTGGACTTAGAGTGCCTTTTCATTTGCCTCACGACTGGATGAACACTTAGAAACAAAAGATAAAAGACAAGACTAAGTGTAATAAGGATAATTTGGAAGCATGTATGCAGAGTACAAAGACAGCTGAAGGAGTATTGCTCCTTTTTCCACCCAGTAATTAAACATTAACTCTGACCCCTATAGTACTGTTTACACACAAGCACACAGCTGTATACACAGGCCTGTTTCCTTGAACCACTCTTCACATGTGTCTCCAGCACTAAGATCTTGTATTTCTGTCATCTTGGAATCCTAATTCTCCCCAGCTCTGCCTCAAAGATCGGGGTAATTCATTTCACACCTGAGAAATGTTCTGAGAGGGATCTAGGAGACCTCACAATGCTAAGGACTCTAAAACCTCAACTGCAAGAATCAGCATTTTCTCCAGTCACTGCTCCTTTTTCCTACACGAGAAGATGGAAAAGGCTTTTCTCAGTTCCTTTCCAACACTTCTTCACCCTTATACTCTCAGACTAATTCACAAAGTCCATGACTGGCACAGGCATTTACTTGGAGGCTACCAATCAAACAGTTGTTCTTTCAAAGCTGTCTCTGACATGTATACAGGGAGAAACACTTCACGGGGTAAAGTCTGTACTTAAAAAACAGAACAAAGATGATAAATGAAGTTGAGGATCAGAAATCCTTATGTGTGACAAAAATAACCATAACACCCAATGTATATAGCCCTCAGAGAAGTTATCAGCTTATCCACACAATTACAACAGTACAAGCAAAGAAAAACAAAGATTTGTAGCTAGGTTCAGTCTAACAAGAAAGAAGAAATACAGGTCTTAAAGCAATGGGATAGCTTTTCTGACACGAGTTAGAAATGCATAAATTGGTCATGCATCAAGTACACCAGGCACAAACCACGGGTTATACGAGGAACTCAAAAGACACAAGGGAATTGGAATAGAAGGAGGAAATGAACCTTTGCAGTCTTACATTAGCCACTGTCACACCACTGATTAATGTGTCATCCTAGAAATATTTGGTAAGGTGACAACTAATCAGCACTATCAAAACAAAGCAGAAATTCTTCTGGTCTCTTAATCAGGCTTGCAAAAAAATCTGTATGGTCCTTCACTGTTTATAGAGGAACATGGCCCTCGGATTTTGGGTGACATTACTTGCAGGTGACAAGAAGAAGCTTGGCTTCACTGATCAATCTGTGTCTTTGCTGGGGATTTCAATTCCAAATTCTCAGGAATGGAGAGCAAACATTTGTCGTCCCTTCTAACACCATTTTAAACAATAGCTCCAAAGTGGGAATTTTTACCTGTCTGTATTTCAAATGTCCACCAGCTTATTCAACTGAAAACACATCAACTTGTCCTTACCCCAGTACTGTAACCATGATTCATTTTTAAAAAAACAGGCCTCATCCTATTGAATGCCACCAAACATGTGTCTTATCCTTTAGCTCAAATATATTTTGCATGGCCTTACATGAATTGCTCAGATAAAAGCCTTTTTTCTTCTACTTTTGTTATTTTAAAGTGCAGATGCATTTGAGTCATTTTCCCCTTTTGTTTCATATCCTTAAGATCCACAGCTTCAAAGACAAAATGTCAGCATGCAGTCGATTTATGACTGAACTCTTGAAGAGACACTGAAGAATTACCTTGTCAATCACCCCAAGGACTCTGAAGGCCTTCAGTTCCTCGGCAGGGCTCCTTAGGTTCCAAGAGGGCCTTGAACTTAGTGATCCTGGAGGCTAATGGAAGATATCAAAGATTACACATCAATCAGGGTGGTACTTGAAGGAAGACTGCCTGCTGAAGCAAATGCCAGGCCGAAGGAAACTAAATTTATCATAAATCAGAGAGAGTGAAGATGAAAGGAGAAGTTTTCTGTTTGTCCTTAGTGGGGGGAAAAAAAACAACTTGCAAGTAAATAAAACCAAGATAACATCGAAAACAAAATTTTGAAAAGAAAAAATAATGACTTTTTATACTTTCTATGCTTAGCAGAACCTGGTTGAATCAATTGCTGAATTCTTAACCCATCCCAATAATCAAAGCCTTATAGCTACTACAGATACAAAATAATTCAGAGATCACTGAAGAGGAGAAAGTAAATTAGAGGCTTTTTAAGTTTGAAGAACATGAAATACAGGATTATAAACAGAATTCTCTTGTTCTCTGATGAGCTTTATGAAATCCTTTTAATAGCAAGGTGTACAATAATTTCTAATGCTGCCTTAGGAAAAGGAAGCTAGCTATATCATATTAATCTAGAAATTAACAGCAGGTGCTAACTGTTTAAGTATTTAATACACAGAGACTTTTGTCCATTTTGTACTTTGTAATTTCTCAGGGCAGACTCCAAGTTTGCATGGCAGAGGAGGGAACAGTGTTTAAAGCAGAAGTCTTTCAAGACAAAGTTCAACCTCTAAGCATCACATTTTACCTCTGGCACATTAACAATTTAATTTTCAGAAGTTTCTAGTTGCAAACTGAGTGAATTCATTAGATCCTCCTCTAAAAATTCAACATGCAGCTTCCACTAAAACCACAGACCAGAGTCCCTTCCTCCCAAATCTGATAAATTCATTTGGAAAGCTGAACACAAAAAGTCTTTTTTAGCCTAACCCAGCCTCCCCAAGTCTCTCCTTCTAACATACAAAGATAAAGGAAGAGAAAGGTGAAACTCTTTGATTTTTAAATTTCTGAAATTCAAAAGTTCATCTCACATTTGTCAGTATCTGGAGACATTGTTAATAAATACGTCACAAAGGAAAATGATCAGAAACTTGCAGAAAAACTGGAGACATTAAGCCAGTTAATTCTATTTCCTCCCCACATAGTGTTTGTCCTCCTATATATTCACTGTGCTATTGTCAAGGACCAGAGCACCTCTTCATATCTCTCCCCAAAATCAGTTTCCCTTCACGTAGTCAATCGCCTTATTTCCTTCCAAATTATTTCCTGAAAGCAGCTCCTATTTTAGCATTGCCTGTGAAATTCAACAGAAAGGGCCAAAAACACACATTCCAAAAGCCTGGAACATGTTCCAAAGGTGTAGTTTCCCTTTTGTCAATCTACTGGGCTCTCGGTTAAGAAGAGTTTATTATTTATCTTCATTTAACTGATTGGCTCTTGTGATTTTCCTTGTCATGCAGACACTGCTCAGTACCAACAGCACTTAGAAGAAAACAGCCCAGATTCTACAAATCACTAAAGCTTTTGGTACAAAGAAGAAAATAATTCTGCATGAAGTTTGTTCTCCAGACCTACCTTAGGTCCTACATGCTAGTAAGCATGTAAGCACCAGGAAGGTCAAGGTGGATTTCTTTTTCTGTCTTGTATTTACAAGTGTGTGCTATTTTTTTGCATTAAAAAAATAGATGCTTTGAAACGGAGTTCTGCTAATGCAGAGTTTAATCATGACACAATTTCAAAAGCATTCTAAGGAATATGTGTTATGAAAGAAAATATTTCAAAATTCTCAGGGCTACTATAAAAGATTTCAATTTACAAGCTATTACTTTTTTATAACACTGCTTGATAATCATGCTTTCAAAACTTTCTCTTATGCACAATGTTCCAACCATGAATTAAGTTCATGCATCTGTTCAGAAGTTAACAGTTGTCTTAACAGTGCTACAGAACTGGACTTCTGCACCCATCATGTCCATAGAGTCTGAAGTAAACAGTACACATTCTTGGGTTCTTCTCTAAAATATCACTAACAATGGCACAGTCAGTAACAGTACATACACACTGTTCTCCATATGTGCATTTTATAGTTGCTTCCTTAAAATGACTAATCTTTTAATTTTTTTAAATTAACTTCAATGATTAAGTTGCTACCTTAAAATGATTAATAACATTAATGTCTCTACAGTTCTCAGTAGCTTTTCTATAAGTTTCAGGATATTTTTCTTTTTCTTCTTTGCTCTTTAAAGTGGTGTGGTTTCACCATTGCAATGTCTAGTAGATGACCCCAGACTTGGAAAGACATCATACTCTGTTGCAAGAGCAAGCTCTAAATACTCAATTTCCAGAAATAAGGCAATTAAGCATTATATGCCTGCTCCTCTGAACAGGTGAAAAACCCAAGCTCAGCATCTTGCCAGCAATAAGAAGAATAACTAAAGGACAGCTTGCTCGTGAAAACTAGAGGAATAAAGAAGGAAAAAAAAAAAAACAAACAGGAAAGAGGCTAACAGAAAATCAAAGACTTAATCTGCTTTTAGAAATAAGACACTCATATTCCAAAGAAAGTGTCAGACTACCTATACCCACACAACTATCTGAAGAATAACTTCAGCAACCTGTCCAAATGCTCAGTATACTGCTCAGGTATTCTAGGACTTTCTCTGCTGCTGCCTTATGTACCATTTCTAGACTACACTCTGAGCTTCACAGCAGAAGCCAGCTGGCATTACCTGACTAGGGACCAGCATCCAAAGTCTTGCAGTTCCTTTCCTACCATCACCTTTTGTTAAGCCGGAGCTAACTTCAAGTGGAAAAGGATGATGTGATTGTGATTTCGAAGATGCAACAATTTGTGTCCATCACGAGTCTTCAATAGGCTCTAACTTTGCAACCTACACAATGAAGCATAGCTCTTGATTTAACTTCAGCATCGCTGTTGGCCATTACAAGAGCCTCTCATGTTAACCTCACTGAAGACAAGAGTTCTATCCCTAGCCTGGTGACGCAAACACCATGTGACAGAAGGTAATTCTACTGCTGATTCCACAACCTCTGACAGCAGTCTTCACAGAATTTCAGGATTAAAAAAGAGCACTTTCAGAAACATCAGTGCAGAGCTCAGCTCCAAACTGCACATCAAAATTAGATCTCCCCTCACCATGCAGAGGTGGTGTTTGATGACTTCAGTCACCACCCTTGATAGCATGGCCAAAACCCTCACTTCAGCAAAGAGATTCTTCATTTTGAAGCAGATTCTGCTGGCCTGAGATGCAAAGTTTCACATGATGGCTGTGAAACAGTTTCCAGTTCTCCTGGTCCAGTAGGGCACCCTGAATCTGCATCAAGCAAAAAACATGCTGCATCTCTGCATGCATCTGAACAGAGACTAGGTTAAGGCGCCTCACAAGGTCCCCAGTGACCACCAATTTGAAATGGTATCTTCCACGAAGCTGAGACACAGCTGGGGTCATGTACATCTAGAATCAACAGCTGATTGGTATGCAGAATGATCTGGAAAACCTTGAGACTGAATTTCTATTTTATGTTAAACTTGCATAACATAAAACTAAAACAGTGTATTTTCTTTACACTTTCTGCAGTTTTGATGCACGTTGAATGAGAAATTTAGGAAGTACAATATCTTATTAAATAACTGCAAAGAACAGAGATTACTTTTCCTGTTTAGGCATTGAGTTTGCCTGTAATACACAATACTAAACTGCTCTGAAAACTGAAAATATCTGACATTTTAGAGTACAACAGCTTTTGTAAAGTTGCAAAAAGAGACAATCCAAATATAAAATAAGTGGCGTAAGTGGAACTAGAAATAGTTTCAAAGAGTGAAGAAGATATGCATTGCAAAAATACCTTCAGCGTTAAAACAGACCATAGCCTGTATGCATATTTGTGCTGGGTCTCCCATTCAACAGCTATGCTAGGCTGAAGCTTTCTATTGGTCAGTCTAATGCAATTCAAAGGCTGCTGAGGCAGGCCATCTCTCTTACTCAGGCTTGGTGGTGACTCCCTTAAAGCTTGCTAGTCATAAGCAGGCAAAAGAGAAAAACAAAGCTTGAGAACCTGCAAAATGGCCTGCTGCTGCCAGCATTCTTGAGTATTTATTGTCAAGAAGGCTCTTGAGGCTGCCATGCTGTGCTGAGGAAGAGCAGGAAAGTGTTTGCTGAAGCATGTTTTTCCATAAGGTCTGTATGCCTGTTTACAATCTTCAGAAGGTCCCTCCACATCTCCCACTCCAACAGATCTACAGCAGGGCTTTTCTCAATGTTTACCATACCTTGTCAAGTAGGTTCCCAGTTCATGGTCAGTCACAGTTGCATCTGTTCCCTGCGCTGCTTCTCAGCCTTAAGAAATCTTCTATCCATCCTTAAGACCTCTACTTGTAACCTTTTTCAACAGTGCCAAGAGTTCTTCAAAAACACGTCCTCTTGTGTTTCTCTCTTCACTACTCAGACTTGCCAGCAGCAGGGTGGTTGCTAAGGATGCTATCCTTGAGGGCTACACTGATGGCTTTTTGCCGAGGCAAGAGAAGTAGCAAACTATTATCATTCTTTGTTTGGTTTCCATGGCATCAAAGAATCTTTTTCTTTGCAGTTCTGAAACACCAGGCTATTGCCTCTAAAGAAATCTGGTCTTCACTGAGGCAGGAGCATGGCATTTCAGGCCTGGAAGAATAGCTTGCTTCCTTCAGGAGAAGCCCCTCTGCCTTACTGCCCCTTAGAGTTCAGACAGTAAACACATGGCTTGGGTTACGTTTGTAACACACAGCCTTTTTAAGGCTGCTTCATATGGCTCAGCATAAGCCTGACAGATTTTGGGAGTCATGAGGAGCAGAAACGTGCAAGACAAATACTAAACCCATCCTTCAGAGCTTACCTCTTCCCTTGCTGGATATTTCTCTGGCCTGGTGGATGAGAAAGAAGCAAAATATCACATCTATGAAGGCCAGATAAGCCTGGTTTTGAAGCTGCTCACCCTGTTCCTTGTAAGAGCACAAAAGAAACACAAGACTACCTATGCTGGTCATGAGTGACAAAGTAGTCCTGCCTTTTAACATCAGGTGGTGAATAGAAACACTGAAATATTTACTCTTGCTATTTAACCAAGCCGCCTCCTCCAATGTGCTTAAAGTTTCAGCGCTTTCATATTCCATGAAGTTCCCTGCACTGAATCATGTTTTCCTTGCCAGAAATGCATCCTGCCCATCATAATACAGGCACAGGCAATTCCAGGAGTCTATTACACTTGGAAGTGTGACAAAACTTGACCATGCTTCTAGTAAAGGCATCATATATATACTAAAGCAATGGTTCCTCGCAAACACTTTAGCATCACTCTAGCAAGGACAAAGAGATGAGATATCTCTTTGCTGACCCATGTGGGCAAATAAAGATTTGTATAGTCTTATTTGCCTATGTATCCTGTCTAAGCACCAATATTTGAACAGGAGATGGGATCAGTCTGCAGGACTTACAACAGTAGGGGATGCTACCAGTAACAAACTAGCCTTGCCCCAGACTTGACCAAAGCCATGCTTACAGCAGTTCAGAAGCTAGCTAGTTACAAAGAACGTGCACACTAATCTTCAAAACTATAGACTTAATTTCTATAGGGGACACATGCAAAATATCTGCATGTTTCCACTAGTGAACATCACCCCACAGACAGATGCAGGTAATTTCAATACACTTTATCACTGCCTGCATGGGATGGAATACTTCACACACACACATACACACACACACACACACACACACACACACACACAAATCTACCTTGGGGACTAAAAAGGATAAGTAGTAATTTAGCAATTTAGTAGTAATTAAGGTGAAAGAATTCAGGTCTCATCTGCAAACACCATACAGGGAGTCACATTCTTCTTTTTGTAAGATCCTCTCCTGTCCTGAAAGCCAAAGTAAAGAACATGCCAATTCCTCACCTTTAAAACAATATAGTCCTACTTCCCATAAATTTTCAGCTATAAAATCAGAGACAAGTTATTCTCCGCCACAACCATCGTGACCCAACAGCACTGCCTGCATCTGATGCCAGAAAACTACAAAAACTCTAAGACAAAAGTAAGGCTTCCATGTTATAAAGAGTAGCAAATAAATGGAACTAAAATACAAAGGGAAAACAGTGCCATAGGGAAGACAAAGCCACAGCCTAGAAAAACATTTTTATCGTAGAAAGGAGAGTAGAACATTCAGATTTGCCCTATCTTGTCAATTCAGAGTTTCAAGAAGACTGAATTTCTAGTCTCATTACTTTTTTTTTTTCCTTTTGTCTTACTCCAATTAGTTTCACTTTCTTTGGATCTACGAAGAAGACATTTGCCTTACTCAGTACAGCAAAAGAGGAAATATTTCTCAAGCCCACATAACAAAAACGCAACCTATTTCTTCCTCCTTTCCAACTGCAATTAGTTTTTAAACTTATAAAAGGGTAAAAATAGGTTGTTCTTGGGTTTTTTTTTCCTTGTTCTGTGGTTTCCAAACATACTGAGATTTCCATTCAATACAGATTCTTCCCCACTTTCAGGGGCACCTGACCCAAAGAAAGACTACCTAGTAGGAGTTCATATCAGTCCAAAATACTAAATTGTTCAAAGTACAATTCACAGCAGCAGCAAGACTGCAAATCTCACAAAATATATCTCATTTGGAACATTCTCAAAAAAATGTACTTGAGGGCTCTCAACACAGAAAAAGTTACCTTTAAAAATCACTGGTTTTGCTTTTTAAATTACTTGTTATGCAGTAAGATTTTTATAACACTTCACATTTAGGTAGCTGTAGTCTCCTTAGAGCATTTTTGGATCTGTGCAACCTAAGAAGCAATAATCTCTGTGCTTTTTGCCCTTACCTGATACACACGCAAAGAGATGGGAAGTTGGTAAATTTTATATTTACAATAGAGCAGTCACCTACACGCAGTTTCACATGAGTGCAGTAAAGATCTAAAGTAAGAATAGATAAGTCCTGATGGAAATGGTTGGGGAAGGGCAAAGTAGAAATTTATTGAGGGCGTCTTGGAACGAGCTTTGTTTATCTTTTGCACAAGTACAGATAAGGGTGTTTCTGCTTAAGACAGTCCTGAAACTCCACACCAATAAAGAATCTGCTGATCACTCAAACACAACCAGGAGAGACATCTAAAGAAAGCAAAAAGAGCCTTTGCTCAAGTAAGTATTTATTTCTAACCATCCCCCACCCCTCCCAGCTCTACAAGCTTAACTCAGTTGTGATACATCCATATGTGCTAGGCTAAAGAAACCAACAGACTTTCTGCTACATCCAGGAGTGAGTAATATTTTCATTGAAAAGTCAAAAAAAAAAGTTTTAGTGGTGGTTTCTGGTTTTTTGTTTGTTTTTTTTTGCTTTAACTTGAAATCTTTAGCACAATCAAAATGTCCACCTCATCAACTGTGGAGCAGAAGGAAAGTGTGCTAAATTAAGCATAGTCTCTAATGAAATGAAACCAAAAAGAATAGGAAAATAAGAGCAAGTTAATAGAAATATAATGTCAAAATACTCCTCAGTCCTCCTGAGATAAATTCCAAAGATTTTGATTCTCAAGCTTGAATATGCTTTACTACGAGACAGAACAATTCAATTAGACCAAATTTTAAAAAATAATAATAACAAAAAATAAACCCTACCATAGAAACATCTTCAGAGGATTTATGGTACAGACTGGAAATCTTTTCAGCTTGCATGAGGTATTCCGCAGTCTTCCTTTTCACTGCTTCTCGACGAGTTGGACTTGATTCACCTCAAAGGAAAAGAAAGTAAGGTTATTTTTTCTACACAGAGAGAGGTGCTAAGTAATCAAAGCACATGACTGCTTTGATTCTACCTTTTTGATTTACTTTGGGTTACTAATAATCAAAACTACAAATATGCATCTCATAAAACGCAAGTACTATGATATCAGAGTTCTACCAAAAAAAAAAATAAAAAATTAAACCTTGTAATAGACTGAGGTGAATAAAAATTCTTAGCTAATTTTTCTGTGATCTGGCAGATGTTCCTATTATAACTTGAACTGTAACAAACTGCCAGTCTGAACACTATACCTCCCAAAATCTCAATTACAGAAAACAAGATAAGAGCTTACATAGAAACAATAGAGAAATTTTTGGAGCTGTTTTTCCCCCCTGTTTCTAACATGAGATTCCTTAAGTATAAAGGGAATACAGAAATGCTATCAATAGTCAAATGACAACATGGGAGACGTCAACAACTCCTGCTCACAACGTTCTGATGCTTGCTGTTCCTTTGCTGTTGACTTGGGGGTGACACAGTAAGAGAGGAAAAACCACTCATATCAACTATTTCAATTTCCAGATGGCTGAATATTCATTGTGTTAGACCTAGTCTATCCAAACTTTTGCAAGAGGTGATAGTCCTGTGGTACTGCAAAAAATCTATGTTCACTCTAAATCCTTATGTTCAGGCACTCTCGTCACAAGCAGTGCATTGCTACAAGAGACTCGACTGTTACTAAAGAAAAAAAAAAGAATTCAACTACCAACCAAAGAGAAAAAAACTGTGCACCATAATTGCTATAGCAGAAAAATGAAAATACTGTGGCTGCTGAAATACTGAAATGTCTGCCCTGGAAGTTCTCAGAGTAACAGCAAAAATTTCATTTGGCCATGACAGTTGCTTCCAGCCACAACTGAAGCTGCCCAAGACTTGCATAAACACAGCCTTGGCTACAGAAGGCTTCAGAATCACCAGGTGTAAGTCAGCACCGTTCTCAAACAGGGCAAGGAACTGCAAGGTTATCTAACAGCTACTCAAGATAAAAGACAAGGCAAGGAACAGGAGAGGTAATAAATTAAGCATGCAAACACCAAACCCTGACAAACAGCAGATAGCAGAGAATAACAAAGACTAGAACTCATAAGAAAGAGATCAATGAGCCATTTGACATGCCCACCAAGTGCAACCTTGAAGAAGTTCAACCAGAAACTTGCTGACTGATAAGAAAGGAACCAGATTATTGTGGGTTATTAAGAACAAGTCTCATAAAAAAAAAAAAAAAGCAAAATTATTACAGGATGTCTGAGGGAAACCAAGGAAGAACTTACTGAGTAAAAGTTTGTTAAAACTTAATATGGAATGCTTTATAAGAAGAATTGTGGGAAGGTTGAAGCCTCATCTGAGATGTTTAGGGCCAGGATTAAAGGTGAGGGACAAGGCAGAGTCCCAGGGGACAAGTGTGAGAAAATAGGGATGGGAATTACATCAGTTGATTGTGTGTAAGTAGGCTGTTAGTCAGCACAACTTAGTCTAAGATCCTGTACCTGATCATCATTGTCTTACCTTCTCACTCAAGTCTATTCTTCCTCATTTTCTGCATGTGTGAGCTCACTGCTCTCTGTGCATATGATGCAATACCAACCTTCACACAAGACTAGCAGACAAGTCTTCTGAGAGTCAGACAATGGGCCTGGGCCCAGTCTTTCCCAGAACAGCGATAGTTCAAAAAAAAATTGAGCTGCACACTTTGTCCATGGTTATGTAGGTGCCTACAAAGGCAATGTCCTCTGTCTGTGCCCATCTGTTTGTGGCCAGCCGTGTGCCTACAGAGAATGCAGTCACATGCATAAGCCTCTCAGAAATTTGCAGCACAACTGGCAGGACCCGAAGGAGAGGTGAACTGCCTACACTGATCTCCAGCAGGTCAGGGCAGCAGGAGGCACTCTGATGTCTGAGTCTTTCAGTTGGACGGACCTGGTTAGCTTTAACATCTGATTCCTTAATAAAGAAGGATGAGAAGGTTGTCTGAGCGCTCATATTTCTCAAAACATTTTCAAGATTGGAGAGAAAAGTGAAAAGCCAAGTAGCAGGTTTCTTTAGAAAATTCCTCTACTGTAGAAGCTCTCAGTTATTTTCCCTCTGCCTTATACAAGAAGAAACAAATCACAGAATGGTTTGGCTTGAAAGTGACCTGAAAAGTCTATCTAGTTCCAATCCCCCTGCAATAGATAGTGTCACCTCTCCCTAGACTGGGCTGCCCAAAGCCCCATCCAACCTGGCTCAGAACATCTCCAGTGATGGGACATCCACATCTTCTCTGGGCAGCTTGTTCCACTGCCTCACCACCTTCTGAGTAAAGAATTTCCTCTTTATATCTCGTCTACATCTATCCTCTTTGAGTTTAAAGACATTACCCCCTCATCCTTTGATAAAGAGTTCTTCATCTTCCCCACAGGTACTGAAAGGTTGCTATAAGGTCAACCTAGAGTCTTCTCCAGTCTGAACAATCGCAGGTCTCCCAGCCTGACACCACAGGAGAGGTGCTCCAGGCCTCTGATCATCTTCATGGCCTCCTCTGGACCCACTTTAACAAATCCTTGTGTTGGGGGCCACAGAGCTGAATAACGTACTCCAGATGGAATCATTGCCCTTGCTTTAAATAACCCTTTGACCAAGAGAGTGAACAAGGCAGAGGGGTCTTTACTACATTGTTTTTGTTCTACCAGTCATTTTGACCTTGCTAAATTAAAGATTCACCCTCACTTTTGTACTGTGACTACCAACTACCTAAATGCACAGAACTGCCACACACACTCCATCAAGAACAGAGCAGAAGAGACTCATGCTCTACTCCAAGCTCTGTTGAAAGTGATCTATTGTAACTATTACTATCCATCTCCCACCAGGTGGAAAAGTGATTGTTAACTCCTTGGACAAAGATACAGAGCCTTTCTCCATAAATACCTTGGACTGCACGTGGTTTAGGAGGAAGCCAGACAGTCAGAAATTCAGCACACTTTTAGGTTACAATGTAATGGATATGCACAAATTTCTGAGTTAACTCCTCTCATTCTAAAGAGAGAGCAAACTCAGGTCTAGCTCCTCTTAGATCAGTCTCTACTAATACTCTTCTGGTGAAATTCCCTTAGATCAGACTACCAGTACTATTCTCATGTTGAAGAAAAAATAAAACTCAATTGTTTGAGCTTGGGATTGGCTGTATCAGCATGGAATAGACACACAGGGTTTTGTTTGCTTTTAAATAAATGTGTTGCAATTTCTTGAAATATGACCAACACTGCTGCGTTCATCTTTAATCTCAGAGCACCATAAAACTTTGTAATGATCACTGGTGATCGTCAACATTCTCAAAGGCACACAAAAGTGGTAGTTGCACAGGGAAAACAAATCATCCACATGGCAACATTAAACTCTTCAGCCAGCATTTTCTTCAAACAAACTGGTAGAAAACTGCTAGGCTAGTGTCTAAGGCTATCATAAAAGTCAAGCTTACTGCTTAATTGTTAGTTATGTGTATTTAGTTTGGATGTTTATTGCCTTTTTTCAATGCTTCAGTAATTTTACAGTAATTAACGCAAACAAGATAGGCTGTCCCCTTAGAGCTGTCTTTGTTCTCCCTACTTTCACAAGACATTAGTTTCAGTTTTCCTTCTAGTTTCCCTTCCTGAGTAATTTGTTAAAAAACATTCACAAACTGTTCAGTCATTAAAATCTTCAGCCATTAAGAGGGTGCAGATTCACAAACTCCACGAGTTCTTGTATCTTATTCATGATCAAGATCATTATCAGTTCCATCCCTAGGAATCCTGTAATAAGGTATATGTTTGAGTGGGAGTTGGGGAATTGGATTCTCAGAACAGGATTTTTATTTATATTAGTTTAACAAAGCAAATGAAAAGGAAAAAAAGAAAAGCCATATTCCAATGTAATTTCCCATTTAACCAGTCAATGCTTCATGGAAATCTGTAATGAAGTAGAGGATACAAATTCTACCAGAGTAGAGAAAATATTAATTCAAAAGTCTTAGCACAGGGTGATGCCTAATAATAAAAATCTCTTTAAACTAAAAATAATCTTTACCATTTATTTAATTTCATCGATTTCAATTTACCAAATGCTTCATTTAAATAAAGCATTATAACACAGGGCTAGAAAAAATCTCTGCCTCTGATAGATGCTTCAGCTGTGTGACAGACTATGCCTATTTTTTCAAAATGGCAATATTACATTTTGTTATAATATTTTGTAAAGTGAAACAAATGTGTGTTCTTCAAAGAATCAACACATTTATTTCGAGTGAAGATCTTTTGATTTTATCACTGCATGAACACACTGAGTTCCTATTTTCATTCTGCGGTTAGCCTGCAATAATCTAAAGAAGTATCTCTCTTTAATTACAATTTATAACTTGAAAGGCGTTTTTCTTTAAATGGCAGCAAACAGGAAATGTTTAAACTGTGTCAAAGCCTTTGATGAATCTTTACAACTGCTCATAAAAGATCATCCTGCTTAAAATAATATTGATTTTTCATTTATTTTCCTAGATACTAGAAGATTTATGTTTTATCTGATCAGGATCAAAGCTTTTCCCCGCTCCTGATCACTGGGATTAAATCAGCAATGTCATTTTACATGTTTAAAAACTACACTGCTAAAGCACAATATAAAGTGTAGCGATGCTGATCACAGAGACCTGAATAAAAACCCCCTCAAGATTCCTCCCTCTCTCTCCCTCTGCATTTGCTACGGAGCAGCTGTGCCTCACACAGATTCACATGAATGAAAATATTAAGGCGAGAAACCACCCACTTAGTTTATTTTCCATATGACTTTCCTGTAATTATTTTGTAAACTGTTCACACAACAATATATAAAAACATCTGCAAAAACAGGTAATTAATGTGTCAAGCCAAACTAATGCATTTTTTATGGTGTCCATGCTTCGTCAACTGTAATTATAACTCTTTTTAAGCAAATGATGAT